TTGGTTGACGGGTCCCATTAGAAGTCACTATTTGCTTGAATTCTGAAATCCCTCCAGAAATTAAAGGGTCCAACATGTGAGAACTCAAGGTGGGAAAATCATCACCAAAAGAGTTTAAAAACGTCTATCAGACTAAACTTAAACAAGTTGTTTTCTATTTCACTGTCCAACTACTCAGTTCCAGGAAGTCTTTCTGGCCTGAACCTACAGTGACCAACCATCCCGGTTTGCCCAGGACTGCCCTGGTTTAAGTATGGAGAGTCCTATGTCCCAGGGAAGCCCTCACAGATGGTCACCCTACCTGAACCCCTCCATGTGTTTCGATCCCACTCCCTCCAGACTGAGGCCCAGGAGAGACCAGGAGGTCATCCCCTCCCAGCTGCTCCTTTTCTGCATCAAGGTAGCTCTACTTCAGTTTCTTTTGTCCTATCTTGCAGGCAAATCAACAAAGGTCCATTGAGATACTATGACTACATTTTCTTTCTCTTTTTAGATGCATTGCTCATTTTAAGATGCCTTTCTGTGTCCCTACAATGATCTTTCAACACACTCTTGACTCATGAATTCTTGGTCTCTTGCATAATCTTGGGTCCCACTGTTTCCTCTTTGATCTTATATTGTACATCGTTGAAATTCACTGGAGCCATATATGCAGACTGAGTTATGGTCACACTCGGCTCCTTTAATAGGAGTGGTTCTTCTGGCTAATTCTCTGGGTAGAGGTGGGGGTGGGCTGGGGGTGGGGAGGTGTTACTGGTAATCTTTTCACAGATGCTGGAGCATCATGAGGCCTTGTCCATGGGGTGATCGCCCCGTAAAAAATAGGCACAGTTCTATTTCATGGTTTCAACTATCTGCCACTCAAACCAATAGTGCATGTTACTTCATGCAGTTTCATGGATTTAAATGCCATGTGTAAACTGATGACTTTTACATATTCTATCTTCAGTCTACCTCTCTCTGATCTCCAAACTTGTATATCCACCTGTCCATTAAAAGCTCCATTTGGATGTTCAGTAGGGACCTTTAAAATATTCCAAATCAAATTTAACATGCCCTCGAATAAATTCCTGATCTCCCCAAACTTCTTCTCCTACTAGGCTCTTCTAACTCAGTAAATAGCAACTACACCACTCAAGTTGCTAACGTCAAAAATCTTGGCCCGTCGGCATATCTGCTGGCTCTACCTTCAAGACACATCCAATCTAATCCTTTCTCTCCACATTGACGGTTACTACCCTTGTCCAAGCCAGTCATTTTTCCCCTGGATGACACAGTAGCCTCCTGTTTCCATCTTTGCCCTCCAAGTTTACTCTGCACACAGCAGCTAGACTAGAGTAATCCTCAGAAAATGTTAGCTTACATCATGCTGTTCTGTGCTCAAAACCTTCAAATGGGTTCTCAGAGGAAAAGCCAGTGTCCTTACTAACAGGCCAGGGGCCTTCACCACCCATCCTTTCCTTTACCCCTTGTCTCCCTGGGCTCCTCTCCCGCTGCCCTACCGGGCCCTGGCGCTTGTGCCAACAACGCTTTTCCCCAGGTGACTCCATGATTCTCCACCTCATTCTCATGGGTCTTTTTCCAACCGTCATCTTCTCAGGAAGGCCTCCCTAACTACCCTGTTAGGCCTCTCTTTTTCTCTTCCTGGCTTTGACTCCATATCACATATCACTGCATGACATATATATACTTACTATTATCTGTCTCCTTCCGTAGACTAGACACACCATGAGGGAAGGGATCTTAGCCTATATTTTGTTCCCTTCTGCATCCTCAGTGACTATTTTAACCATTCCTAACACACAGTAGATACTCAATAAATATCTGTTGAATGACTGAACGAACGAATGAACGTAATTAGTCTTGGGTTAACACAGTGATTATATGCTGTAGTTGTTTGAAAGTAGGTTTGGAATCATACAAACTTGGGTTCAAGCACTATCCCATTTATCGTGTGGCCTTGGGCAAGTCACACAAGTCTCAGTTTTCTCCTGTGCAAAATGAGGAACCCTGCCCCACAGGGCTGTTGCAAGGATTAGAAAGGATTTATTTAATTAGGTACGATTAAATTCGGTAGGAATGGGCATTCACAGAGAGGAGTTGTTAAGTATAATTTGTGTAATCAAGATGGGTACCTGATTGCTCCTCAGCCAGAGCCTGGAAGACACTGACACTCAGCAGTGGCCTGGCATTCTGTCACTGGAGGAAACTTTTCACGGGCATTCTTGCCTATCCGATTCCATGTATTTACTCAAGGGGCATCGGAAGAATTAAAATGCTGAACTCTGCAGAGATGTAGCATTATGGAAACCAAAAAAGCAAGCAAACTCTCTTACCACTGGAAACATCAGAAGATATAATGTCCCTTTTATAAATCTTCCCCAGAGTCCTTAATCTAGCATTTAAAGCCCTCAATGGAATTTATGTTTAGATTCTTTTTGGAAGAATAAACCATTTTCTGAACATGTCCACTCACATCTGGAATCCTCACATTCATGCATAATAAACACACAGTGTAAGTGTCATTGTTCTGTTTTAAACAAAGATCCAGTGGTAACTACCACACTCTTGGGGGCACTGCCACCATCCTTTTTTCGACTTCCTTGTTACCAGACAGGTAATAACATCCTCACAGCAGCATGCAATGTCAGCAAAAGGCCAAATCAATGGGGAAAGAAAAAGTTATTTACAAGTGAAGAAGCTGTTATTTAGAATAAAAGGCAATTTTCCTGACATAACTGTATGTTGAAAAGCACTCCTCTTTCCCCATTTTCTGAAGATTTTAAAAATTTAGCATTTTCAGTTTAAAAAGTTCAGCTCTGAATGTTATCAGCAACCTTTTAATGAACATACAATCACGCCACATTTTCTGCTTTTATGATTCACTAAAGCCAAAGCCCTCTGAGCCCAGTTCAAGCTTCATCCCTTCTCAGCCACGCAACTGGGCGCAATGGTGTAGGGTTCCGCTGACTCAGGTGAGGTCACATCACCGCAGCTTCATTTTGGAACCTAAGACTCCTCATCCCAGCTACATACCCCCAGATGGCAAAATCATATAAACCACAGACAACCTACGAACTGGGAGAAAATATATGCAAACAATGCAACTAACAAGGGTTTAGTTTCCAAAATATACAAAAGCTTAGTATCAGAAAAACAACCTAATCAAAAAATAGAAGATCTAAATAGACATTTCTCCAAAAAAGACATATAGAAGTCCAATAAGCCCATGAAAAAGATGCTCAACATTGTTAATTATTAGAATTATTGCAAATCAAAACTACAATGAGGTATCACCTCACACTAGTCAGAATGGCCATCATTAAAAATATACATAATAAATGGTGGAGAGGGTGTGGAGAAAGGGGAATCATTCTACACTGTTGGTGGGAATGCAAACTGGTGCAGCCACTAAGGAAAACAGTGTGGAGGTTCCTTAAAACACTAAAAATAGACTTATGAGTATGATCCAGCAATTCTACTCCTAAGCATATATCCAGAAAAAACTCTAATTTAGAAAGATACATGCACACCACACACACACACACACACACACACAGGAATACTACTCAGCCATAAAAAGGACGAAATTATGCCATTTACAGCAAGATGGATGAACCTGGAGATTATCATTTTAAGTGAAATAGGTCAGAGAAAGACAAATATATGATATCACTTATATGTGGAATCTAAAAAAATGACACACATGAACTTATTTACAAAACAGAAACAGACGTACAGACATAGAAAACAAACTGATGGTTACCAAAGAAGAAAGGGGGAGGGGAGGGATAAATTAGGAGTTTGGGATTAGCAGATACAAACCACTATGTATATAATAGATAAACAATAAGGTCCTACTGTATAGCACAGGGAACTATATTTAATATCTTATAACAAACTATAATGGAAAAGAATATGAAAAAGAATATATATATATGTGCAAAACTGAACTGCTCTGCTGTATGCTAGAAACTAACATGACTATAAATTAACTATACTTCAATTAAAAAAATATCATACAAATCACTGTTTACTCACATGGGCTTTCTATATGGTCTTTGTTTAGGAAGGATAATGGCCCACTCTGTATCACTGCATATTTTATACTCATACACAGTAAGACAAGAAACAACTAACGTTAGTGATTTTTCTAGCCCTCATTAGAAACACCACTTACAGATGAGCTGTATGCACAAACATCATTCTTGGGTCTCATCTACATTACCACAAAAGTTCCTGTGGATGCTCTGCTCGTTTACTGTAGGCCAGGGTTTCTCAACTTGGCACTACTTACAGTTTAGACCAGACAGTTCTTTGCTGCAGGGCTGTCCTGTGCACTCTAAGAGGTTTAGCAGCTTCCCTGGAATCATTAGATGCTATTTCATTTACAGTGAAAAAACGACATTGATAAACTAGTTTTCAAGACCTTTGACTACTTGTGAAATTGACAAATTTCCCACACACATATCTGATATCCACAGCCAGCTAGAAGGTATGAAAACAAAAGTGTAAAGTTCGGTGCCAAGACAACACAGCCCCAAGAGGAGGAAAGTAAGCTATTTGTACCTCATCACTGTTTTTTCTTCTTTTACTACCACTCTGCCTTTCTTTTTCTTCTATTTCTTCTTCCTTTTTTTTTTTTTTCAGGAGATGGAGGGGTGCAGGGTGGGTGTGGGCTGTTCATTTCACTTCAATTTCAGGTAATTTCTCTTGAACATCTACTTTACACAACTCCAAGGGGAAGAAGAGGACCATCTTTGCCCCCGGACAGCTTGAGGCAGACCTGTGTGACTAATTAAAGCACAAAGCAGATGACGATTTCCCTTCATTAAACCTTTTCCCATCTCTGGGCTTGAAGTACTCTTCCTGTGAACACGCACATCACTTCGTGTTTCTAATGATACTTACTTCTTAGTTGTGCACCGATAGGTGTGTATGTTCCTGCCTCCTCTCCCTTGCTAGAATGTTATTTGAGGGTAGGGTCTTTGGCTACTCACCTGTGTAACCTCCAAATCACTGTGCACAGTGCCCAGCACGCAGTATGTGCCACATGAATGCTCGTGAGCACAGGAAAGCAGTGCCAGAACAGACCCAGACTGTCTGCTGTAGTCACCGAGCTTCTAAGGGGGTGGTCAGTGGTGCTGAACAGAGCAGAGGGGAAACGGTCATTGCAGTTGATACGCAGCAGTGCGAAAGCCCAAGTCTCAGGGTCTAATGAACCAGCAACTAGCCAGTGAGTGGAGACACCCTTTTAAGAAATTTGGAGACAAAAGGAAGGAGAATGACAGGGTAAGAACTTGACTGATGGCAGGATAAAGGCTTGAGTAAGACTGTAGACTTGAAAGAAGAAATCAGTAGAGATGATGCAATGTGGAAAGGGAAGATGGTTCTGGAATAGGCCAGGTCACAAATGAAGAGCCTAACCTTGAAAGGAGGGTGGGGACACCTATCACTTGGAAACAGAAGGGAAGATGAAGAGAATGGGTAAGGACAGAGAGCTGTTAAGGCAGGAACGAGGGAGACTGAGGTTGGACTATGTGGCCTACATTTTTGAGACAAAGTAGGAGGCAAGAACATCTGCTCACAGTTCTGGGGGCCAGGGTCTGGGGCTTAAGCAGAGTAGAAAAGCTATTGAGGTAAAAATGAGAGTCAGTAAAAGAGAAAGGAAAGAACTGTTGAGTTGAAGAGGACAGCTGTAAACCTGTAGAGGAATCAGCCAGCCTGACATTACAACCTTGTACACCACACGTAGTGGGTCAGAAGCAAGGAGGAAGAAAACAAACGGCAATGTGCTAGTTTCCGAGGGCTACTGTAATGAAGTTCATACCAAAAACTGAGTGGCTTAAAAGAATAGAACAGTCCTGGAGGCCAGAAGTCCAAAATCAGGGTGCCAGCAGGGTCATGCTCTCTTTGCTCCAGGAGACAACACTTCCTTGCTTCTGGCTTCTGGTGTTGGCTTGCAGATGCACCACTCATGTTGGCATCTTCTCCTTGTGTCTTCACCTTGTCTTCCTTCTGTAACTATCTTTGTGTCCAAATTTCTCCTTTTAATGACATTATGGGTCCACTTATAATGGATCAGGGTTCACCCTAATGACCTCTTTATACTTTATCTTGGTAAAGACCCTATTTCCAACTAAGGTCAGACTCTAAGGCACTGGGGTCAGTGTTTCAACACTTTTTGGTGGGGATGGGAATAAAATTCAACCCATAACAGGTGGCTCCAAGGATACAGGTCCACAGATGGCAAGTGGGCCTAGATAAAGGGAGTGAGAAGAAATAAGAAATGCTAATGAGAATACCAACAGGATGGCCAACTGTGGGGCCCAGGCTGGAAGGAAGGCAAGTAGGGTCTGAATCCTGGAGATCGAGGGTTTGAGTGACAGGGTAAAGGCTAACGGTTTGCAGGCAGGAAGTAACAGGGAAGGGCTGGTTTGGCAGGAGTCATATGATGAAAGAAAGGAAGACTGTGAGAATGGACTTCAGGCTCTAAGATCTTGAATTAGTGATATGAGGCTGGAGGTCTATGACTCTGGTAGGTCAGCTAGAGAGGTGATCTCTTATAGCTAAAGTCATGCCTAGAGGCCAGGGTACTGATGGCAGTTTCTCCATCCACGTGTAAGAAATGGTGATATTGCTGAAATGAGCAGAGGACAACTGTGGTCAGCTCTTGTGATCATCCAGGAAGGTGGGAAGGTATCCTCTAGCTCAGGAGACGAGAGACTGAGGAAAGACTCACAAAAGGGAGAGCTCACGAGAGGTGGAGGCATACGTGTAGAAGAAATCTGAGGAGAAGGGAGCATGAAAACTCCTGCTGAGCAGCAACACAGGGGCGAAGTGGTCTCTCTTGGTGAAGACTGGGCATTAAGTGCAACAGGGATAGATGAGGAGGAAGACGGAGGCAAAACTGTGAGCTGAAGTATCAACCAGATGCCCCACGTGTGGTGGTTGTTAACTTACTGAATGAAAGATGCCATCTGACTTATCTTGAACCATCCTCGTGATATAATAAGGGAGTGGCTGAAAAAGTCCTGCCCCTGATAAACCAAAATGCCAGAACCAACTTTTGGTCATGACCCTCTGCCTAAGCAAGGCTCAGGCCCTGTGTGGGATGCTGACTGCAGGTATGCATGGAGGTGACACGCAGGGTGACAGGCAGGGCGAGCCAGACCGCACGTGAGTTAGTTTCAGTTTCCTCATTCAAAACTGGAATAATAGTACCTCCCTTGTAGGACTGCTGGTGCATAGTGAATCCCCAACGAATGTTAGTGGTTGTGATGGTGATTATTACTACTACAAACGCCACAGTCTCACAGAGAAGGAGGATTGAAAATACGTTCCTCAAAATCATAGTAATCATAAAATTCCCTACCTCTCCCTCCCTTCCCACAAAGATGAAGAAAACACCAAAATGATCCCAGAACATTTATTTCCACGGGTTCTTGACGAAAGAGCACAATTTTGCATGGAAGTACATCACTACACTTAGGGCAAAATTACGCAGCAAGCAAGAGCTGCCCCTGATCCATCTCAGAGGGAAACTTGAGAGAGGAATTGTCCACCTCCCGACAGTTTTACAATCATTCGTATCACCACATGCAAGCCCCAGCCCATCTCTCCTATGTTCCAACTTCTAACTGAAACGTGTTCACAAGTTGTACGTGCGCATGTGAGTGTACAGAGAAGGCTCACTTCACCTATATGATGAGGAGCTGAGACAATACATCGTGAAAAAGTCACTCCAACATGACGTGGAAGCCAAGCCAAGGAGGCTTCAGAGCTTGGGCCAGCTCTCCTCAAAAGCCTTTATTCTGAAAATTCCACTGAGGGGTCCCTGAAATTCAAAAGCCAGCAGGTCTGGTGTTTGCTCCATTAGTGAACTTCTCCCAGTTCAGGCCTGGGAGGGTGGGATGCAGGCGAAGGGGAAAGTGGGGATGTGTGGGCATCCCACACCTGGCTCAAGCTGAGAGCATATCCCCAAGAGGAGACTAAGCAGACAAGGTGTCGGGACCGCAGATGACATCGGCTGGGGACACAGACACCATTCAAAAGCTTGTGCTTGAGACTCGACTCTTCATCCATGGCTTCTCCCACCACCATCGCTAGGTATCAGTGGCTTTCAATGCTCAGAATTGATCTCTGTCCCCCAGGAACTATAAGCCTCGAGAGTCCTCATTTAAGGTATTTGGCTGGTGGTTTCAGTCTGACCACCTGCCACTTTCATGGTTCCACAGCCTCCCTGGCATCTGGGTGGGCGGTCACAGTGGCCTGACATGTGGAACAGTGTGGCTTTTATATCATAGGTAGTCTGTTTGAAGAAAAGGAGCAGGTTGGATGGACGAAGCTGAGGCTGCTGTTGTGGTGACCATTAATCTGTGACTCCTGAGCCAGGTCCAGTGAGGTTCCTGAGGCCCCTGTGGGGCTTGTTAGGTAGATGCCTTTGCTGCTCTTCGAGCCTCGTACTCCTGCTTTGCCCTCTCCCTATGCTCCTGTTCCTTCTGAATCAGGTGTACCCGTTCCAGATGCCACTGCTGCAGCTTCTGCTCGTAGGCGGTGATGTCCTCTGCTTCACAGGTGGGGAGCTGTTCCTTGACAAGCTGGGTGGTCAGGGTCAGAAGGCTTTCTGACTCGACTTTGCCCAGAGCCTGTAGCTTAGAATGTAAGGTCTGTTGGAAATAAATGAGGGGGGAAAAAAAAAGGGAGACATGGGAGGGGTAGGCAGGTGAAGAATACAAAGAAGAAAAAAGAGACTAAGTCTCTTGCAAAATCTGCACACATTCTGCTAACGGGAAAAGGTACTTTGCTGGGAACCCGTCACGCTGCCTTTCATGCAGGCACTGTTAGCTTTTGCTCCTTTTCTTTCAGCCCAGCAATTCTGCTCAGATGCACCACGTGGGATTTCTTCCCCGTTCACTCACAAACGGTAAATGGAACTCCGTATGCTGTGATTCCCTGTGTAATTTCCTGGTTTTAAACCACAAAGATTGCACAAGAAAACAAACCTACATTTCCACTCTGACTTGCACCAAACCAAGCAGCAAACTCTATGAACAAAGAACCCTAAGATGCAAACGAAATGGCAGAAGCAGCTGATAAAATGGAGGAAGCCCATCCATAGCTTGTCCTTTCGAAGAACAGAGAAATGTTTACCTAACTAGTATTCCGTTCAACAGATGGAAACCATGTCAAGGCTTCCTTACTAACAGCATCATGCTAATAAGCAGCTCCCAGAAGCGCCGTTACAAGCTTCCCCCCACTGAGCTTCACTGGGGGTCAGCCTTGACATCCTGACTGCTTATGGCTGCATCTGAAATGGCAGCTCGATCTGGTAAGTATTGCATTTCTGGAGAAGTAAAGTACTAAAAACACTAATCTACTGAAGTGCTTCAAGATGTAGGTCATCAGAGACCCCCTTACGGCCCTAGATGTAGCAGATACCACGTGCCCCATGTTCCATAAACAAACGCAATTCACTGGCATAAGTGATGAGGCCTGTTCCAGTGGCGTGGGGCAGGGGCGCTGGGAGGTGGGAAGGGTCCATAGGCTTCAAGGAGTGGCCAGAAGCCTAGTGTGACGGGTCAGACATATAATAAGGAGTCCCAGATTACCTGGGACTAATAAAAATCAGGTACCAGGAAGAAAAGGTATAAAATGAGAATTATTTCTGATACCATTTTCCATGTGGTTTGAGGCCAAAGAGACGTCAAAGCTTGGGACACCAAAACAAGGACTCACCTCCGAGTCAGCAAACTTGTGTTCAAAGTCAGTCACTTATGGGTGAGGTTCCGCCAGCCTCGGTGTCATGTAACATGGGGGGAGCAGTACCTAGCACCCAGGGCTATGGTGAGGAGAAATGAAATGTGGTAGCACCTAACACACAGCTGGCAGTCAAGAAATACTGGTCTCTCTTCTTTTTTGAATTAAAAATAAAAATGCACTGTGCAAGAGAGAGGCCTGAGAATTTAATGGAGGCACTGATTTCTATTCTCCAAGATTAAATATGTAAGAAACTAGAGAAAGAAATTAGGTAATTTTTAGGAGAGGTGGGGCAGCCTTGGTCAAGACGAATATAGTGAATGATAATCTATGGGCCAAGCAGATTTTTTGTTTCTCAGCTTTTCTAAATCTGCAAAGTTAGGCAAAGTTAAGAGGAAAGAAAGGGTGTGTAAATTTTTAACTTAGATGCTAATTCTGTGTACCCTGAAAACACTGATTAACCTTCCTTTCTCAGTTTTTAAGTTATAAAAGAGGGAAGTTGAGCAGTGACCTTACAGAAGTAGCAGGACAAACAGCTGCTCAAAGTACTGGAACCCTCATGAGAATACAGGGAACTGGGTTTCTCAGAGCTGGTTGAATATAATTACTGCAAAGACTTAAATGTAATAGTCTGGCAGAGTGTACATCCCTCTGTCCCAAAATGACACAGTGGGTCAGCCGGGACGGTTTCCCATTTTCTGCTTCATACAATGAATTCTCCTTCAGGCAGCACTTTGTTTTTTTTTTTTTTGTTTGTTTGTTTTTGCTTTGTGCTAAGCAGATGAGAAATGCAGCAAGGAACAGGCCAAGGGTTTAAAATTTGAACATGGCTCCCCTCCCTGACTCTGATCACAGAGCACTTTGGGACATACAGCTGAAAGCTACCAAAGGCAGCCTGAATGCTCAGGGCTGTCCGAAAACCAACAGTGGAAACACACCTACATCGTCCGTGTGGTACAGAGCGCGTTTCCCATGGCCCTAGCACACACCACCAAGCCGAGTAAGAGATGACGCCTGCGTCTCACCTCCATCATACTCAGATGGGGCTTTGTGATTTCCACCTGGGTTTCCAGTGATCATGAAGGTTCAGTGCAATATGGAGAAATGCCTAGATCCTCTGCACCGGGGCTGGAGTCAGATGCTTGCTATGAGAAGCCAAGCTATTACCCGCTCATCGAGCACACGTCAGGGATGAGTCGGTAATGACATGTTGCCTTGGGGAACAAAGCTGACCGATTTCCTCAAGCACAAAAAGGAGCATAAAAATTCCATTTGTTTCTTTTAAGACCACTTCCTCTGTGAACAATAAAAGTGTGATTTTTGATGTCAGTTTTTATGTCTGTGTGGGACACTGATGCATTAAAAGGACTGCTTGTCCATCACCACAGCAGAGAAGCACGTCTAACGCACAGCTGTGGGGACTCAACTCTGCTCCGACTCACCTCAAATCGTTCCAGGTATTGGGGAAGCTTGGACTGTTCAGTCTCCTCCACATCCAACTGCTCCAGGACTTCTTCTGGCCGCTGGCCCTCCTCACCCTCTTGGGGTTGCTCCTCTGAAGACCCAGGGGATGGAGCGGTCAGAGCCTTCAGCGCTCTGTCTAGCACGTCGAGCTGCGGAGCAGAAAGTGGGGCAGGGACTAAACATCCTGTGGCCTGAAAAGCACTGTGAAGAGAGGCTGGAGAAGGGAAAGGAAGGGAACACTGGGATCTAAAAAAATCACGAGAAGAGTTCTCTTATCACATCATAGGAAACAGACACGGTTATATAATTTTACATTACACCCTGTTGCACAGCATGGAAAACTTGGTACAAAACAAATGGAACAAATAAGCAAGCTCAGAATTATTTGTATAAGTGAATCAGCACAGTGGCTTCTGATTTCACTTTTAATCGACCAGGTAGGAAGCCAAGAATTACGCTTGATGGGCACTAAAGTACTCCCTCTTTCATGTCTTTCTTCCTCAATTGGTTTAGAATCAGGAGAAAGGGAAAGAAAAACCACTACAGACCACAACCAACAATGGGCCATTCTGAATGCACGGTAAGGCCTCTGAATCTAGGCAGGGCCTCCTTTAGAGAAAAGGTACCCATAAATTAGGGATCAGCGCCATCTATACAAGCTGCTGACAAAGACTAGACAGGCGTATGTGAAGTTTCCTGTTAACAGGTGATTTCTATGACTTAGAAAGTAAGTAAATTATAAAACAGGGTTTCTTTGTGTTTTGACCCCTCTCCTCTACCACTTTCACTTTGGGCCAACCTCCTTCGAACCAGAGGGCCTAATCATCAGAGATGGGACAGAAACAATCTCATGGTCGGCATTAGCTCCTGCAAGGAGACTGATTAATTCTGTCCATGTCACATCAGAACAAAAATCCTGAAAATACTCCAAGGTTTTTTAATGCCACTAATACATTATAACCAAACCTGACACATACCCATTTCCCCTGACATCTGAATCACATTCCTATTAAGTCAGAACACAAAGAATGCAAATCTGGCTCAAAGTGGAAGGCATATTTCCCTGGCAAAGCATTTATGTATAATTTTGTGTTTTCAATCACCAGTACTGACTACAGCAGGGTTAAAACATGAATATATATTTTAAAATGTATATGCTTTGTTATAAATGTCTGGCAAAGAACATAATGATTCACCAGACATCAGTATACAAAGCCAGTATAGAGACCAGACTTGTGTATCCTGTGACTGAAACGAAAGTCAAGGGGTGAATCCTAATGATCAGGGTCAAGGCAAAACAAATAAGCAGCTCAGAGTTAACTTTTACACCCTGTTAATGAAACAACTAATGTCCTTCTAGGCCTCACTCTGACTACAAAAGCTGATTAAACAGGAGCGAACATTGTGGCTCCCTATTGAGTGTAAGGCTTGTCCCATGGCTGTAAGATGCTACTTTCTGTAGCCTGAGTCTAATAACTTCGTATGTAATGTCAAGAGCCCAAGGTGACCAAGAGGCATGAGCTTTGAAACTAGTGGGAGAGGAGTTTCCCAGTATAGGCAAAGTGAAAGCCTAGAACTTTGAAAGGAACATCTGGTCCAGATCTCAGCACCATGCATTCACCACAGAATGGCTTAAGGAAAGGGAAAAAAAATGATGACACCTCTGGTCTCTAAATTCACTTCTTGAGAGCTCTTATGGAGGGGAAACTGCCAGGTAGGTAGTCTCCCAGGACTACATGAGGATATAGAAACGCCAAAAATTAAAAATGAGGGGGAGGGTATAGCCCGGTGGTAGAGCATGTGCTTAGAATGCAGGAGGTCCTGGGTTCAATCCCCAGTAACTCCATTAAAGATAAATACACAAATAAACCTAATTTCCTCTCCACCAAACAAAACAAAAAGAATTTAAAATGTTATCTTAAATTCTCTTGAGCTCCTAATGAGATTTTATTATTTTGTTGGGATGGGTGGTTAGACAGTATTTTACTGAACTCAGTTTGAATTTCAGTTTTCCTCCCAGATAATGAGCTATAAAATCAACATTAATCTTATTTTCTAGTGCTTTTTGTCAGTAACATTGAGAATGTTCGTGGTTTTTCATTCCTTTTCAACTGACGTAAGTACATGATTCTACAGACACAACAGGGGCGGGAGGGAAGGAGAAAACAGTGACAACAAACTCAAAGCCTGACTTAGAAGGAACAGGAGACGGCAAATCCCACTGAATCAGGGCTGGGGAACATACCGCTTCTCTACACAGCTTTCCATCTTCTGGGGAGGAGGCCACCTTCTCCATCACTTGAAGGGCTCTGTCAAGGTAGCCTGGTCGCCACAGCAGAGGCATGTTATGGTACACAGCCCACAGCCCTTGCTGCAACTCCACCTTCCCTGTGGCCAGAAAGGACAATGAAGGAGGCTCAGCCGTGGCTTCTCACTATGTCTGAGATGGAGGACTCAAAGGCACAAGTGAATATTCACCTGCAGGTCTAAAAACAGAGAAGGATCATTTCAATTCCAGACCAAGCGCCTCATCCACCCAGTGAATGGAGACACTTCAGATGGATGATGAAAAATCTGGGAAAAGTCAATGTATCAATGTATACACTTTTCAATATAAAGCTGTGTGAACTGATTTTTCTCCTTTTTCACCTGGACTGTTGGAGATTATCATGAGGAGGTATGAGCCGTGGGGCTGAGGGAAACTCAGAGGTTGTGATACCTGCCTTTGAGAGGAGCTATCCTTACAGAACAAGCCAAATGACTGAAACATTATTTTTGTTTCAAGAACAAAATCTTCCTCAGAAAAAGAAATTCTGCAACTTTCTTACAGTGAAAATCTTGTCAATGTTTGACAACTTTCCCTGCTAGGAAATGGCTGACATTTTTCAAGATGCTCCAAAACAGCCGACTGCTCATTATGGAAAAAAAAAAAATCACTTTGCTCTTCTTTCCACTATTTGAACTTCATCAGTACTTAAATCATACAGTCCTCATAATCCTTTTAGGTCTCAGGACATGAACGTTTCTCTTGGTACCTCAAACCATCACAGCTGGAGCTTAAGAAGTGGCTGGCAGACAGCAGGGTCCTGGTGGGGACAGAGGCTGTCTCTGGATTTCCAGGGAACAGTTCTCTCTGCACTACGACCAAAGTCACCTTGAGCTGCCAGGTATTAAATCCACCTTCACTTATCTTTCCCGGCAAGGAGGATTTGAGAAAGCTGTAGTGGGACATAAACAGACAAAGCTCATCAGGTGACAGCTAATTTTAGACCTTTAAGATGCTTGGGGCTGGCTGCAGTCACGTTCTGGAAGTTGCTTCTGTTGGAGGTGAGCGAGGCTGCATAGCACATGACACAGTGAGAGCAGAGCTTTGGATCTGATGTTGCCAGACCCGAAGCGCCTGGGCCTTTCCTCAAAAACAACTAACAACTAAGAATGCTTTCTTAGCTCTGACAACTTCCTGGACAATTCATGCGGTGTAGAATCCTGAGTGCTAGTCTGAAGGCAAAGGCAAAATCTTATAAATCGGTATCAAAAGTAGATGGCAAATAAGGAAAAAATTATTTTAAAAGAGTGATCAACTCTTTTGTTAGTCTGTCTGATAAACTCTGAAACGCCTCCCTCTGAGTCAGTTTCAATCAGATTCAGTGTCCGCAAATGCCACATTACATTGTGCTTCAAAAGTGTCAAACTGCAGTCAACTTAGATAATTTTCAGAAAACAAACGTAAGCAGACACAATGTATGATCAAGAGAAGGTGCTTTCTCAAACGCCTATCTACTTAGGAGAGAGAATGGATGGGTAATGAGACAACATGCATTTAATAAACCTCTGTAAACCGGGACATACTTCATGCTTTTAGGTTGAATGCTATTTGCCAGATTCCACATAACCCAAGTGCAGAGGCTTCCCCTCAAAAGGCTTTGCCCTCCTGACTGTCTGGTTTTCGTGCGATTGGGGCTCTAAAGTGAAGCTGGCAGCCCCCCTGTGTGGTAGTCACACCACACCGGTGAGCACCTCTCTGCTCTCCAAGTGCTACTGGATGTGCTCTCTGAGTTTCTCTTCCCTCCCTTGAAAACAATACCAAGGAAATGTATTCAACTTCAACGCTTTATTTCTTACCTCCTGGACTTTAGGTTTATAGTGACAGAAAGATCTTTTCAACAATGGGAAAGATCCTGCCAGTCAAAAGAGGGCCAGAACTTTCCTTTCTTTATCCCTTCCTCACATTGATTACTACTAAATAGAAACTAGCTCTTACCTTGCCAGTGGTGACAGGTTTAAGAATCCTCTTTACTGTCTTAGGGCATAACTGCAAGGCTGTAGCAAGGTCTATTTTTATGTCAAAAATGAAAGCTGTATTGGAATTTCACTGGTAAGTTTAAATCAAGCTATAATTTTATTATGAAGTAGAAGAATGCATCAGTTCTACCCACGAAGAACAACATTCGTAAGGACCACCAGCTTACCAAGAAGCGCATAGCCGTACAACTGGGAGCTCAACCCCACTGGGTTCTTCTGCTTTAGGCCCGGGAGTAACAGGGATGCACCAAAGTTCTTCTCGTCTTCCCACTGCAACAGAACATACCAGATACACCAGGTCCAGCCAAGGAATGCATACTACATGCAAAAACGGGATTGTTAATGACACAGAGGGAAAAACAACATAACACTAAGTAAAAGAAGCAAAGTAGCAAAACTAAAGGCACATTGTAACTCCAATCTTGTAAGTTAAAGATATTTATGTTTGATGAAAAATATAAAAGAGAAATGCCCTGCATGTCAACAGACTTCTGGGCAGTGAAATTATGAGCAATTCTGGTTTTCTTCTTCGAAGTTCTCATAATTTCCCGCACTTTGGGCAGTGAGTGCGAGTTCCTTTTACAGTCAGAAAAGCAAAACACAACGAAAATGAAGAGTACACTCTGGATCAAATTGCTGGGAGATAATCAGTAAGAATTACCCAAGCTGTCAGCCCCGTATCCACTCACTGTGCTATGACAGGACGGAGCAAGCTTTTGAATTTTCAGCAATTCAGCAGTAAGACTCCTACTTCACAGTGTTAAAATAAATATAACTATTAGGCTTTTCCAGATAGATTTATGCATCTTAAAAAATAAATTAGGCAATCAGAAACACTTAGTGCTCATTTCTTCCAATCCAGAGTGCAAAATTACACTTCAATAAAACTGAAGCTTTTTGAGACATGGGAAAAGAAAGAGATAAAAACACAAGCATAGCTTAGGCTGCTGCAGACTAGCAACACAGTGACGGGGGACTCCCTGCAAACGCAGGCCCGAGCAGAACCTTGGCAACTCCCCAGACAAGGAGAGCTGTGATTTTCTCAGTGCCGCAGAAGCACACGAGCCTTTGTTCTGGCTTGGAAATACAGAAAGCAAAGCTCAGGTGGCCCTGAACCGGTCAGAGAATGAATAAGGAGGTGTGCAAACTACAACTGCAGCCAAGTGTGAGTGAGGCGCCCTACGTGTTAATGGGCACCCAAACCTCTTTATAGGAAGGGCCTTTCTGCAATACAAGTGTAATTTCTTAAGGTTTTTCCAAACCCTTGAAATAAGCAAAGGCGTTGGGAGAAAAACAAAGCCTCCCCGGGAGCTTCTGCAGCACACATACGTTAAAAGAGCTGGTAATAAAGAACCAGGTCATTTCACTTTCAAAAGCAAATCACTCAAAGGTTTGATTTTCTCCTACATAAACTGCATGAAATGGGGCCCAGTGACTAATAAGTAAGGAGCTTTAAAAACATTTTTTTCTTTTTTTTAGGGAAAAACACGACCTACAGTATCAGGATAAAAGCCTAAAGAACAGCATCTTGCTGTGCTAGAACCGAGCAGGGGCAGTGATGGTGGCTGCAGTGGTGATTCTTCCAGAAGGACTTTTACAAAAATGAGTGAAAACAAACAAGCAAATGGGTACTGTAGAGATTTTTTTTTGGTGATTATCTGGGAATAATACAATCACTGCTGCTTATATGAAAGGCTACTTATGTGTTAACACAGAATATTAGGTCTCCTCCAAGCCTTTAATTTCTGTTGTATGCATTACCATGGACTAAATCAGGTGCTATTCCACCAATGTCCTTGAGGTTTTCTCATTTCGTGCTTCTGCTTCTCCCCTTATACAAAGCAAACCCTCGTTACCCTCTTCCATTCCCCTTCACAGCTAGACATCTCAAACACTGCCAATGCTCAGTCTCCTTTCTGCACCTGACTCACTCTACAATTCATTCCAATTTGGTTTCCTGCTCCCTCATTCTATGGCCCTCACGCAACTAAGTCCAATGCCCTGTGTAGAAGTCCTCATCGTCCCCACCCTCTCAGGAGTGTCCCTTATGTAGACCACCTCTTTCCACGGTGCCTGTTCGCACATGTTTCTGATTGTGTCGTGGCCTGTGCTCATCTGCAGACATTTACACGTGAATGTATAAATTACATCTCTAGTTGAGATTTTTCCATTAAGATGCCAATTTCCCTTGTGAAATCTCTTGACTGTCTCAAAGGTATCTCAAAATGCAACACATTCAGAGACAAAATAATATTTTTCCTTGTCAAATGAAGTCTTTTTTCCTGAGTGTCTTTTGCAAACACATGGCGACGACCCTTTTGTCCAGATAACACAAGTTGAAAACTGAGGAGGTCAGATTTCACCTCTGCCTCTGGCCTCCACATCTCGTCCCCACTATCATGTTATCTGTTCTCAGATACGGCTGCTCTCTAACTCCACCACGTCCTGGTCCCCATGCAGCCATCACCTCTTGCTCAGACAATCAGGAAAGTCTCCGAAGTGCTCTGACCGTAGCCACCTTGGCCCTGATCCAGTCTCTTCCCCATATTATAGCCAGATACACAAGTCTGATCATGCTTAAAGTCTTTCAGTAGCTTCTACCTATTTTCAGGATGTAGACAAAATAGCTTAGCATTATCTACATTCTCCAGCCTTACCTCGCCCTCCAATTCTCTCTGTGGCAGCTACAGTATCTTCATACCTCCTTCTGGCCCCTTTCTGCTCACCATGTCTGTTCTGCCACAGGGCTTTTGCATATGTTATTTCTTCTTTTTGGATTGTTCTCCCCTCTTCAGTCAGTTAATTCCTATTCATGCTTCAAATATTAACTCGAGAAATATTTCCTCAAGGAAGCCTTTCCTAACCTAAGTTTAAAATACAAACAAGCAAAAAATCCCTACCCACAGAGGCTTTTCATAGATGTCTTCATAGTGCTCATTATGGTCATAATTTTATATTTCTGTGTTTGCATGGAATGTAGTAGTTGCTCAGTATATATTTAGTGAATGTATTTAATGAATGTGAGGTATGCCATAGGCTATAATACCCATCTTAGAAAAACAAAACACACCATACATTTTTCAGAACAGGGGCTAGATCAGACCATCTTTTCAGTTCCTACCCAAAGTAGTATTTTCTGATGTTACATTTGAGGTTAAGGGCAGACTGTGGGGCCAGACTGCCTGGTTTCACCAGGTGGCTTCATCACCTACTAGGTGGGTGGCAATTATACAACATCTCTGTCCCCGTTTTCTCATCTGCATGGAGTTGTGAGGAGTTAAATTAATAAATCTAAAACACCAAGAACACAGCCTGGTGTAAAGTAAGTGCTATTTAAGTATTAGTTATTGTTGTTATTATTCTTAGCATAGCAATAAACAATGACTAAATACCCTAATCTAAGACATGAAACTAAAACTTGTTATTCCAAACTAACCCAGAGCAACCTTAGGAGAATACCAACACAAATTAAATGGTTAGTATTTAACACCTGAGGTTGTGGTCAAAGGCAACTGCCTCTTGCTTCGTTGACATGCCACATTTGGCTCTCACTGATAATCAATCACCCATTTCTGGATTCCTGCAGTGCACTCAGCCTAGCTCAAGTTTCAAATGTACATAAGGACTTTCACTTGAGATTCTACCAAGTGGAGGAATGTCCAGTCCCACTCTGTTAGAATCCAGTACAGGATGTACAGGATGAATACTCCTTCCCGGTTGTACAGGCCACAGAACTACGCATCAGGTATCTGTCCAGATGCCGAGGACAGGGGTTTCCTCTGGCCCCCTCACACCCTACTGAGTGGCCACTGCTTTCTTCTTCCAAGGTGCTCAGTTCTGCTTTAAGGTAGATCACTTACACTGAAGTCTGTCTTCTTTGCCAGGCAATGGTATAAAATATATAGAGAGAGGAGTTGAGTGGAAGGAACTTCAAAGGCTTCTTGCATCATGATCTCAAAAACCACGGATAAAGCATCTGGCAAAAAGATCAAAGCAAAAATGAAAGGAAATTAGTTTCAGGCAACATCATCAAATCTGTATTTAACTATAAACACCCTTAAAGTGGGGCATGACAGAAAAATAAACAGAAGTAAGAAGTTAAAAAATGTGGGCTCTGGCCCTAGTTCTTCCCCAAACTAGGTCTTTCCCAAGTCTTTAGCTTTTATTGTACATATTATTTTGTACTAAATCAGGTGCACTCCTGTCCTCAAGGACACTGAATAAGGGACCTAATTTCTCCCAAAATCATCTTGATAATGATAAAATACCATTTGTCCCATATACTTCAAAAGATTGTTGGACAGCCCAACAAAATAATACACAGAAAATGCCTCATAAACTGTGAAACAAATTTAAGGGATTGTGTCCATCAGCTAGAAGAGCTAAGGCATACAGAAAGGAGGCAAATATATTTTCCAGGACACCCTGGCAAGTAGGGCGGGAGCTGGGCTGACTGCCCCACTATGTGTTCTGGAAGCTTCTCTTTGTTTGGGCAAAGAGGAAAAATGCTAGAGAAAATTCTAAATCCCAAGTATTATTTGAAAGATGGAAAACTGATGACTACAAAAAAGACAATCAGGTTTAGTTTAAAACACTTGAAAGAATGGGAAGGAAATGCTTATTCGTAAATTCTAAGTCCTTGAGCGTTAACATATAAGATACTTGTTTCCACATGAAGCTGATCACAGACCAGACTTTGAGCACGGTCTGATTTATTTTCCCTCGATATTCCACAACAAAGGTGAAAGCCAAGAAAATCAAATTCAAACAATTTCCTTCCCTTAGTATTTGTTAAGTTAGGGAATGTTAATATTGGTTTAATCTATGGTGCCTGCACATAACACAGGCACAACAAATGTTTCTGACTAACTGACTGAGTTGTTCTATTAACCAATTTTTGCATATACTCGTAAGAGGTAGCACTGACTTGCAGCTATTGCTAGCCAACTGGTTTTGTGTGTGTTGTCACAGTTCTAAATGAGGCCACAGGCAAAAATTTCTATATTGTTTTTGCAAATGGGGAAACTGAGATAGGCAGACCGGGAGTCACCTAGTAAGTCAGTAGCAAAATAAGAACTTGGAAGAGACTTAAAAAGCAACAAACAAACAACAACAACAACAACTACCCCAAACAAATCAGTAACTAAACACAAATAAAGCTAAAATTCCAGTTTAAAAACAAAACTCAGCTTTGCCAACTGTTCATTAATAAATCCAAAATTACATATGAAAAATAAATCAAATTTACTTTATCTTTAATTCATATTCTTCATTTTAGTCAGTTTGGGAAGTGAAATCAGATTGACCTGCAAAAGTAATTTCCTTTTCCTCCCATAATTTTTATGTACTTTGCTACTTCCTATTCTGACAATACAAATATAATACTCTCTAAATTTTTGCCATAAATGATGGCAATCTTTAAAATTTTAAAGAATCCTCCATATTAATTATTACACTGAATTTAAGGAAAAAAACTCCTTCTCCCTTTTTGACATACCCTATAAAGAGTGAGGGGAGAAAACTGCTGCCACATAATTTTTCAAAGATACAGTGATAAGGATTCTTACATCTGATGCTAAGAACAGATTATAAAACATGCAAAAGCTAATTATCTTTTAGTCGAATTCAGAAACCACATGTTTAAAACAGAAAAAATGGACGAAGGATAATTAACATTTCAAAAAATAATGCACAACAAATATTCCTTGGCAGTCTACAACCGCAAGCCTTTTATGAGAGACGAGACAAAGCAGAGATTCAGAGAGGGGAAAGGAGCCTATTCACTGAGCACTGATGCAATGGGAAAGGCCCAGGGCGCTGGTGTGCAGGGATGAGGGGATGGAACCCAGGGACAGGAAGCACAGGTGACATAAATGCCTAAGTGACCACCAGTCCTATCTGTGTTCTTGAAGTAGTGACCACCCTAACACAGGTGTGGCTCCCTCACGGCTTTCAGAACCGAGCTGGAGGATGAAATGGTGGGAAGGAAAGGCAGCGTGTGTCTTTACACAACGGTAGGGCCCTCTCTTTCCTCCTCCACTGTCTGCACAGCTGGGAGCACAAGCCTGACGTGCTGCCGTTCTCTGTCCACTGGACGCCAGCAGGGTTCCGCCTGACCGCTCTGCAGGCTCTGCTGCGATCCCCAGCTTCCCTTGGCCTCCTTTATTGTAGCTGAAGCTAACAGTCATTTTAAACTAATTTCATGGGATTGGGGGATTTTGGGGGTTAAGAGATCTCAGATCTCTTATCACCGATCCACTTATTTTAGAGATGGGGAGGCGAAATGATCTTTCTTCAAAGTGAGCATACTACTATTCCCAGGAAAAGCCGACTGATTTTATAGTTAAACACCTCATATACTACAACACCTGGGATTTAAATAAAGCAAAGTCAGCAAATGGTGCTAAAAAAAAAGTCAAGCTACTAATTGAATTAATATAATCTTAAGTAGCCATGAAAGCTCAGGCAGGGTTTATTACTTAACTAAAGTCACTATCCTTTGCCTACAGAGACATGAACAAATAAACTTGAAAAACTCAGAAGAAAAACAACCTGGATATGATTCTCCTCTCTGGCCAACTGGTCTGGTAAATCAACTATGCATCTATTTCTGACTGAAAGAATGTTGTAAAGAGATGTCATTAAGAAAGTTTTTAAAAAAGGAGAAGTGCCTACATCTACCTCCCTTTGGGAGCTGAAGGTCCATTATAAATGGACCTGGGTTTGCTTCCTTACCTTTGTAGTTTTCTTTCTTTATGAAATAATCCATCAGTAAATTAAATGTATAGTTATCAGGAAAAATGCCATACTGGACCTGTAACGAAAATAAAAGAAAAAATATCCATCTAATTCAGTTTATAATATACGCTTATGTACTATTCAGGACAAAACTTGCCACCATTAGCTTTAAAATACCTGACTATCATTTTACCACATCTGTGACAGTGAAATAGAAGCTGTGACTCACGCAGTTTGGTAACTGGAACTGTTGGTCAGGGTGAGAAAGTTGTGAGTGTGTGTCTCACATAAGACAATTGATATGTGAAAAATAAAGCTCAATTCTAACACCTCATCACAGCTATAAAAAAAAAACCCAAACCAAACCAAAACAACAATAAGAAACCACCATACTCTACTGGTTCAGTGATTCTTTTCATAAGGTGTGATTCTCAATGTAAAAATGGATTTCCATGAGAAAGCAGACATTATCACATTATGCTCATTTCCTGGTCCTTAGACTGCTTTCCCCCCTCAACTTTATTAAGATACAATTGACATGTAACGTATAACTTTAAGGTGCACAACATGATGATTTAACACATAAATACTGTGAAATGATTACTACACTAAGGTTAGTTAATACATCCATCATCTCACCTAATTACCATTTCTTGGTTGTGATGGTGGTGAGAACATTTAAGATCTACTCTCTTAGCAACTTTCAAGTATACAATACAGTATTTAACTACAGTCATCATGCTGTACATTAGATCTGCAGAACTTACTCCTCTTATAACTGTATCCTTTGACCAACAACATCTCCCCATTTCTCCCACTCCCCAGCCCCTGGCATCCACTATCCTACACCGTTTCTGCAAGTTCAGCCCTTTCAGATTTTACATGTAAGTGAGATCATGAGGTATTTGTCTTTCTTTGACTTATGTTACTTAGCAAAATGCCCTTGAGGTTGATCCATGTGGTCTCAAATGGCAGGATCTCCTTTTTTTATGGCTAAATATTCCATTGTATGTATATACATACACCCCTCCCTCCATTTTCTTTATTCATTCATCAGTAAATGGACACAGGTTGTTTCCATGGCTTGGCTACTGTCAATACTGCTACAAATAATGAACACAGAGATACAGATACAGTGAGACAGTGATTTCATTTCCTTTGGATATATACCCATCTTGAGGACTCTCCATACTGTTTCCCATAGTGGCTGCACCAGTTTACATTCCCACTAACAGTGCATAAGGGATCCCTTTTTGCCACATTCTCACCAGATCTTGTTATCTCGTCTCTTAAACTGGTTTTTAAAGATCAAGAAGCCTGAAGTTTTGGTGGCTTCCCATGTGGTTTTCATGCACAATCAAGTTTGACTACTGATGATCTAGACTGTAGTTACATGTTTGTTTTAAATTCTTACTTCAGTAGGATTATTCCCATCTCCTAACCAATCAACTACCAGAAACATTGGAGAAATTATGTCTAGTTATACTCATCCCTTTGAGAAATTCTGATAATAATCCTAAACCCCAGCTGCAAATCACTGCTGAACTGGGTCACTGTTACTAGTAGGCTGTACAGAATGACTCAGATATGATGAAATGGAAAAAAAGTTTAGAAGCCATTGTTTTAAAGGTTATAGCTCACGGGTAGTGTTTAAATTTATCAAAGCAGTCATCCAAATCTGCACAAATCCTTAAGGCAGGGTAAAAACAAAATACTTCAGAATGATAAATTATTAAAGCTGGAAGAAACCTTAGAAATCAACTGGCCAGAGATTCTCAACACTGGCTGCAAATTAGAAGCAACTAGGGAGATTTAAAAAGACACCACTGAGGTATGAATAGGCAGAGCACAGAGCACAGGGCAGTGAAACTAGCCTGTATGACACTATAAAGGAACATACATGGCATAATACATTGTGCAAGCCCACACAATGAACATCAAGAGTGAACCTTAATGTAAACTATGGACGTTGGGTGATCGTATGTCAATGTAGGTTTATCAGTTGTAACAAATGGCTCACTCTGACGTGGAATGCTGATAATGGCGGGGGGGTAGGGGTGGTACGGGGAGCTGTGCAGGTTTGGGGACTGGGCATATGGGAAATCTCAGTACCTTCTGCTCAGTTTTGCTGTAAACCTGAAATTGCTCTAAAAAACAAAATCGATTTGTTAAAAAAAATTGAGAAAACCACTTAAAAAATACTACTGCCTGGGCTCCAGGAAGAGCAATTAAATTAGAATCTTGAGGGTGGAGAAAAGTATCTGTAATTTTTAAAAGCTCCTTGTGTGATTCTAATGGGCAGCTAGGTTGGAAATCACTGATTAGTACAACTTGCTTGACTCAGACTTGGAAAAACTAAGATCTAGAAGGATAAAGTTACTATTTGCCTGAAGTTACGGGCAAATGGTAGAAATTTATGGGGTTATAGCCTGGGTTTTCTTGACTCCTTGTCTGGTGTTCTTTCCACTAAGACTAGGCACAGCAAAAAATGAGATTTTTTTGCCTTCCTAGACCCTTCTTGTTTTGTTTTCACAGGAATCTTCTTCTTTGGGTATAATCTGGATCATTAAACTCTGAACTGACGAGCAGAATTTAATCTTCCTTCCCTTGGGGCCTAATATTAGATTTATCAGTGAACCTGCTTATCTGCCATATTAAACTGTAAGCTTCCTGAGGGCAAGGATAGGCTACTGCTCATTTTTGTGGACAATGCCATACCCAAGGCAACGTCTCATACATAAACTGTTTGCAATGGAACCTAATGTTAAATTGGGCCACAGGACCAAAAACTCCCCAAAACAAAATCAGTATTTCTTTTTGAGTTCTAACATACAAGGTCCAGTGACACTATAGAAATAATACAATTCCATAGAAATATTGTTAAAGTCTTGCTAAGGCTCAAACTAGGATTGTAGCTTCAGACTCACAATAATAACATTCTAAACTTTTGCTTATTTTGTATTTATTTCATACTACGAAGGGAATGAAGACTCAACGCTTGGGTGGAGTAACATTCAGAAAGACCCTAACAGTGGTAGGCTGGGGAGCTGAGGCTTAAAGGGCAGAGTCAGGGACTTAGGAAGACATGTTTTCAATAATCTACAAATTCTGTCTTTTACAAATGTGTGAGATGATCAGAATACTCTGGAGATCACATGCCAGCAAAATGGTCATGTGTTTTCCCCTAAACTTCATCAAAGGGAACTAGGCAAACAATTCAAGACTTAGAGATCAAGAATGAAATGACCACCAGTAGAGTTTTGTGATTGAATCACTTTTGGCTTTTACCTGTCCATTTTTAAGTCATTATGCTTGGAAAAGCAGCAGCTACAGGAATTTTTGTTTATGTACTGATTCATTTATATTCAGCTCCATTCTAAAAAGGATATCTAAGGGCAAAAAAATTTAAGGTATTTTTTGTACTATTCTCTGCTATACTGTAATGATATAAACACTATGTCACCTAAACTCAGGAGAATAAGCTGCAAGTGCCAGGAAACCACTCACCTTATTTACAACGGTATATAAGGCTTTGTCTTGTGCACCGTATTTTAGACACTGCCTAATCCAGGTGTGTATAGTCCAATCTCTCAGGTACTGGCAGTTAGGGCTGTGTCGGAATCTAAATAAAGCACGAGAGAGAAAACTGGTGTTAACTCTTAAATGTCAATGCCAAAACCCATCTTCCATCAGCAGGTCCTTCTCTTATATATTTACAGATGTGCAGTCAATGTGATCATGAAAGTCACAAAGGTCAACAGTTGATTAAAAACTTGTGGATAAAACTCATTAACTATAAAGTCTGAAATGCCAAAGAGAAGATAAAATAATAACAATTGACAAAAATCTAAAAATTTTATTCCTTATTTAATACCCCCTAATTCAATATCTTGTTTTAATATGATTTATGAAAAATGATTTTGGGGAAATGCTCTAGTTACTACGGTATTACATGAATACACTTTTCATTAGAAGAGAGATGTGGAGCTGAAACTGAGTTCAGAAGTTTAAAACAAAAGAGACAAAGCAAAAATGAAAAACAGAACAGCACAGAAATTCTAGAGGAAAATCAGCTTTGAGTTACACTGATATTTTTTGTGGCACTTAAGAGAGACTGGGACATTTTTCACTGAATTGAAAGAAAACATGAAAGAAAAAAAAAAAGAACAAAATTTAGCATTCGGGTCCTCAAGGATCCATGACCACCACGCTGGCTTTCTCACAGCTTCATTGAAGCCCTTTAGTCTATCTTTTCTTGCTTCCTACTGCTTCTCACATGGGTTTAAAAGACTTAAGTGGTCCCAGCTGAGGTGTACCAGCATTCCCTCCAAAGGAACGGAACTTGGAAAGGAATTCAAAGCTGCTCCTGCCTTGAGTTGGCACTTACTGATGACACCAGGGTTGGAGCAGACTCTCTTGCACCTGGGGGTCTGTGCTGCAAGGCTGAGTGAGAGGGGAGGCGGGAAGTGAGGAGACTGTAAAGGGTTCTGCAGTCCTCTATTTGTTTATCTGTTTTGACCAGAAGAGATTTTCAAACAGCATGCCATGTCAGCTAAAGACCCCATGTTTCCTTTGACTATTCAGGAAGCAGGTTAATCTCTGGGCCCCACAGAAATCAAACAGTTTTCTCAAAAACATAAAGGCAAGAAGACAAAAAACTTAAAGTGAAAGGATGTTGTGCCACATTTGAGAGTTGGGGCTACAGGCTAATACTTGTGTTTTTCAGAGGCTGGTTATTCAATCTGCCACCTGCTGTTTCCTGCCATCTGCTATTAGGAAGGTTCCTGCTGAACAGGTTTTCTGCCAAAGTAAAAGTTGAGAAAAAGAAAGCAAGCGAGATGTAGTATTTAATTTAGGCTATTTATTAGTGATCTGGTGAGAGACTTGGCTAAAATAAAATCTGAAGATGTTTTATGGATCTAGAATCACCTAGCCCTGTCCAGACTTTCAAATACTTTAGATTTGGTGGAAAATGTCTCTTTTACTCTTTCTCCACAGAATTAACCCCTTTAAAAACAGAAAGATAAAAATATGTCAAATTATGTTCAGGATGAGAGTGACCTGGCAAGAGAAAGGCATCATATAGGTGTCCTAGATACTAGGTCTAATGAGATTCTCTGAATAGAAATGAAATAAAATATATCTTTTAGTATTTCATGCTTTCTGTCACATTTTAAAATCAATAGTTGAGCTACTTGAGCTTTTCTCCTCGTTACTCTGAAAAATCTGAGATTTAAAGCTAGTTTCATTAAAACAAAAAAAGTCAAGTGAAATACCAGGTAAATTGCCTAAATGATGCTTACTTTCTGGCCTGTAAGCTCCCTGGTAGTAAGCAGCAGCAGTGACTGACCTGCTCAACACTGACACAATTCATGGCCCACGGTAGGTTTTTGGTTAAAAAAAAACTTCAATCAATACATGTATTAAATGCCATAATGTACTGATCCAATCATGCTATTAACTGCTATGGTATATATGAAGAATGGTTTAAATTCCCTGTTTGAGGCACTTACAATCTCATTATAAAAACAAGGTATACAAACAAGTTTAACAATAACACAAAGTGGGGCATGATAAATGCTAAAGATGCAAAGGGCAAGCTGCTAGATGCTAGATGTGTTTCTGATAGTAGGCTTAGCCCATTTTTCCTTTAAAAATGAACAAACAAAGAAAAACTGAACAAAAAAGTCAATTACCTCCTTTATCCAAGATTTAAATAATTTAAATCTCATTTAAATCTAATCTTCTGCTTTAGGATGTCTCCAATGACCACTGAAGTTATTACTTTTTTTGATGGACTTCAGAGTAAGAGCACCATGATCATATCCCACCAAACACCCTTCTCTCTTATTCATGATCAGCAGACCATTTTAGGCTTGGAAAAGAATAAAAAGGTTGATAGGATCTACCTCCAGACCTCTGAAGCTCAAACGAAAATTTGTTTAAAGCTATTTGCTAGCCTATCGAGGCTAACTTTAACTGATGGAAGAACAGAAAAGTCTTCTTTCCTTATCACACTTTATTTCTTAGAAGCCTTAAGGGAAAGTTACCCAAGACTTCACACAACTAATAATCATCTCTGCACAATAGCCCTTTGAAAGGTTTGTCAACAGACACACTCCCTCTCCCATCCTGGAACAGGGTTACTTGGTGTGATCTCTGCTCTGTAAGACCTAATAACCATGATACACGACCATGGCTAGGACATTTTCAACAAAGTGACAACATTAAATAAACTTAGGAATAAGAAGCAAACACTTACACATATATAATGAAATAAGCTGCTCAAAGTACGATTCCTGTATTTCCTAGCCAGGCAGCAAATAAACTCCTTTTTAAGCCCTCATCAGCTTTAAAAAAAAAAAAAAAAAAAGCACACAACTTATGTGAGTAACTAGAGTATAAACAACTCAAAACATTGAGATAGTAGGGTCCAACTTTGGATGGTGAGTTTAAGAATTTTCTGCCAATCACTTTTTAAGCAGTTTGGAGCAAAAAACTTGAGCCTTTTCAGAACCGCCAGTGGTTATATGACAGGCAGGTAAGTCTCTGGCATTGGTACTTGCCTAGAATGATTCTGTGAACTGCTGGACCAGCATTCTCCCTTTCGGCCAAGAGACAGGCAAGGAGACAAGAACACAACACACTGATTTTCCAATCTGCCTACAGACAGACTGGCTTTTGTTCTTGCCTGCTCTGACCTCCAGCCTGGCAGATTACAGGCAGCCACTGTAGGAGTCCCCTCTGTGCCCCATGCCATCAGCTGTTTGCTCACCTCGACAGAAGCTTTATTATTGTCTAGGCCAGCAGGCTGTAAAGCTAGGCAAACTGTGTGAGTGTGGAAAAGATAAACAAGTGCAACCCCAATAACCTCAACAAGGGGAGAGACATTCCGAGTTTTCCGCTTATAAAAAAGAAGCAAACCTACGACGATTCTAAGGACATGAGTACTTTCTTGGAAGGAAGAAGGGCACAAGAAGGAAAAGGAGAGAATGAAGAAGTGTGCTTTCAGACTTCCCTCTACTGGTTCCCAAAGCTGGTATCCCATGGTTGAAGAGATCTCTCTCTGTCCACAGTGCAAAGTGCAGTTTCCAGGTGAAGGCAGAACTCGCCCAGGCCAATCAAACAGCTTCCTGAGAACTGAGAAGCTTCCTTTCCTTGAAAACCAGGCTATAGTCAGGACTCTTCAGGGCATTTGCCAGCACTATCACTCCTTTAAGACTGATGTCACCAGGAAGGAAGGAAAGCGGAAGCACAGGATGTATGACATGGGGCCAAAATCTTTGATACCTTTGAGATATCTCAGAAGGGAAGAGCAGTTACATAAAGGAAGTCAAGAGTGAAAAGAAAAACACCAGAGACTTACTGTGATTATATAGAAAGTACTTTACTGTGTGTAGAAGTCACATGGGATTTCCTATTTGGGACCAATTTCATCATTACGTTAAAAAAAAAAGTGCGATACAGCCTTTCTCCCATGGGTTCAACTAAAGGCTACTGCTGAAGGCAACAAGCGGCAATGCTCCTCACTCAGCCTGTCTGTATCACAAATGAAAGCGCTCCTGGCTGAGCAGGGCTAATGCGCAGATGCTAGGGCCTGGAGCTCAGCGCTCACTCTTCCATATGAATGAGCAAGCTTTCCACAACATTTATCTGATTATGAGAGCCACCATCCTCAAATATACACACGCAGCTTTCCCTCCTCCCGAGTGGATTCTGTAGCCTGTGGCAACAGGCTCTCCAGATGGAAACCTCAGCCTCTGAGCTGGTAGGCATGGAGATGGGGAGGGGGCCAGGGTAAAGGGAAGACAGGAAGCAGGCCAAGAAGATACAGCCGGCTGGCTCCAAAGCCTGCTGCCGTGGGGACTGGGAATCTTATCAACGACGCAAAGTGCGTAATTACTGAAGGTCTGAGCACCTCCCTGAACTAGAACCAAAGAAGAGGGTGTCGTGTGGCTGTTCAAACCAGAATCTGATTTAATCACCACCATCACTTTCTTATTCTAAAAGGATAATTATTTTCTTTTGCATCTTGCTGGAAATTCTGCTCTCATCAATTACTAGTTGCCCCCCAACTACCACAAATAATACCATATTTTTATGAGATAATTTTCTAATGCCTATTATATCTTTGTCTAGTGTTTTAAAAAGGGGGCTAATATAGGAGCCTAATAGAAGAATTGATAATAAAAACATCAGTATTGTAGACTAAAACCACCTTCCTGCTCAAGTGCCCAGATTCTTCCTTTTATTCTTACTTTTCCTGAAGGGGAACTTCAGGTAATTTTAACTTTTAACCAACATGTCCCAAGTGTACACTAAGTAAAGCACTACAGCAAGAATCCCATCCAAAACATTCCCCTTGCAAAGGCTCAACTGGTTTGGGCTTGTACATTTCCAGTGAATTCGTTATCTACCTCTGAGGCAGACAAAAATGTCTTTTTTTTTTTAACTTCTAATGCTTAAAAAAAAAAGTTTACAGAAATACAATGTATAAACAGTAAAATTCAATTTTCAGTGTCTAGGTTCATGAGTTTTGACAAATGAACCCAGTTGTGTAACCACCACCACAACCAAGTTATAAGAACAGTTCTTTCACCCTGAAAATTTCCATAATGCCTC